GTGCGCGACATGTTTTGTTGCGCGAAGCAGAAAGTCTTTCTACTCTTTGCAACAATGAAAATATATTGTATAAAAATATATTATAGTCAGTCAGTCAGTCAGTCAGTCAGTCAGTCAGTCAGTCAGTCAGTCAGTCAGTCAGTCAGTCAGTCAGTCAGTCAGTCAGTTAGTCAGTCAGTCAATACCTTTAATTGTCTTGTAGAAAAGTTTAAACCCTGTTCGTATGGTTTTCTCGTTCGACATGAAGGTAACTAACAACGTGTTAGACGTTGATTGAACTGACGAAGGATATCTGAAATAAGATGGAAAACTGGGTCAGGGTAAGCAAGGAAAAAAACACCAACTCACTCAAATCGCACTGCACCTTACCTGACTCCACAGTACCGACCAAAACGAGTAGTGGGTAGAGGTACCTCCCCGTCATACACCTCTACGTAGTCAGCTAAACACTGCGGGCTCAACTCCAGTTCAAATGATTGGATTTCAAGACGAATCACGTGACCCTTGCTGGCCTTGATTGTCCAGGTACAGTTAGCATTGTTGTCATAGAAACCAGGATAGTATGGTGACGTAATGTAACCTGTCTCGTTGTTCAGAATCTCGTTGCAAGCTGTTTTTGAAAGCGTTACGTTAATATAATTATTTGATTTCCATCCAATGAATTTCATCCATAGATCCATCCATCCCTCTATCCAACCATCCATTATATTCATTCATTAATTTGTTTGGTTGTTCATTCGTTTGTTCGTGACCGTTTACTCATTGTTAAACTCTTTCATTCACTCACCCATTCAGTTCTTAATTTATTGTGAAAGAGAAAATGCATGTTTGCGTACCTTTCCTCGCGGTGGTTGGCATGACAACGCAGTACCCGTCAGTAGTGTACAGACCCTCTATTGACATTATCCCTGGTGCGTTTGACGTTACGCCCTCAATAATAACCTGTCCAACAAAAAATATAATAATGCTATATGTATACACTCAATTGAAGAATCGTTGTCGGGTTCAGAAACATAGAACATAGAAGCTGAGACCGAAATGGCACATGAGAAATGTCATAATTATATTATAATTTATTCATTTGCGTCATCCATGCAGTTGGTTTAGAATGCCAAACGCGTATTCCGTGTCGACGGTCACAGTATGGATGTAATTTTGTACTTTCCATGTGCCATTTCGGTCTCAGTTTCTATGTTCTTTGTTTCTGAACCCGACAACGATTCTTCAATTGAGTATATACACAATATTTAAATGGGGGTCCGTCTCTCCACATGCACTTCGCCATACCAATATTGGAGGAATGTAAAAAAAAACACTGACGACAACAGGAAGACATTTTGGCAGTGACCACCTTCAGTCTCTGCACCTCATACTAACCACTGTCCTCGTTGTAAAGCGACTTCAATCACATATGGGAAGGGAGTATTTAAAATCAATAAAACCGGGTCCACTGTTTAAACCTTACTTGTTATTTAAGAATACATACTTTGTAAGCCGTTACAGCTACTAGTGTTACTTGTCCATCCCTCCATCTACTGTCCACACTGTCCTTAACCATCCATATCGGTCTCTTGGTGTATTTTTTGTCATCCAGTTCTTGATATATTTTTAACGACCTCGCCCCAGGTGCCCAGATTTTGTACCTAAACTTTAAACATCTCGCTGGAGAATCCGATGACCTCTCGTATCGCGGGCTCTCTATCGTTGCAACGCTGTGTGGATTTTGCCTGGAATTGGTGATCAAACTCAAGACATTCTCTTCAAAAAATAAAAAATAAAAATAATTCATTATAATACCCGATGGCACAAATAGTACGTGCGCACTGTTTGGACATCAAAACTTGGAGTGAACATATTCGGATGATATCGTTTTTTTGTGTGTGTGAATTTAATGTGGAATTCTCTCGGTCATCAACCAATGAATTTACCTAGTATGATATCAGTGAGTCGTAGTTTTTCTGCTCTATGGTTTATACTTGCTTGTTTCTATCTTTTCCTCCCCTCCCTCACCCTTACTCCCTCGCTCCCTCCCTCCCTCTTCCCCTCCCTCACCCTTCCTCCCTCGCTCCCTCCCTCTTCCCCTCCCTCACCCTTCATTCCTCGCTCCCTTTCTCTCTCCCTCACTTCAATATAAAGTTATGGCAAGGCATTACTACCTCGACGCAAAGTGAGGGTCACACACAGTGACTTCATGGCGCTCGTTCTAATCTGCTTTTCCCGCTTTAACTTTTCTCCTAAGCATCGCAATACGTTGTTCCTTTGCTTTTGGCGGGAAAAACCTTGCCGTCACCATCGCTCGTTTCTCTCGAAGCCAATGAACCAATCAACAACAGAATATAATAAAATAGACGTAACATTTATCGAAATGAGTAATAACATTTCTACCTTGGCTTCTTCTGCATGTTGAGTTATGCTGAGTAAAAACCCAAGACATCGATATACTTTGCATAAAATTGCTCCATCGTAAAGTGTCCCCTTCTTCCTGTCCACATCGGTACGACATGTAACGAATCTGATGAGCAGACATCACGTGACTCCAGACATTCAGGCGGCTCAACTTGATTTTAGTGTCGACCCTTGACCTTGATTCAAATTTGATGAATAACGCGTCTGAAGTGAAAAGAGATTTTGTTCAGGCTCCTATGAACAGGCTATAGAAGTTTGAATCTGAAATTTTCAGGAATTCCTAGGTAATGCACTAGCGGTTGCGAATGACACTCTCACCTCTGGGGCCCTGGACTGTGATTCAAAGCCACTTCCAACCATCCTTTACAAAGTTAAAATTTTGTATATAAAAAGGTTTTGAAAAGTTTCTTTACCTTGCATCATCTTTTTGTCCAAGATGCCTTTCCCATGATCCTTCAGGATGCCATTAATGTACATCTGCCACACCCCAAAATCGGATTTCCACGTCACGCATATATGTTTCCATTTAACCTGTCTGTAACTATAGAAGCAAATAGTTTTAACCACCACGTGCTCCTCGGTGTGTATTAGGTATATGAAACATGTCAAACTCTCAATGGGACATTAGATTTCGTATAGCTTAGGGAAAAAGTCACGGTACGAATCTTCTGTGGCGTTACACAAACGTAAAACAAACGCTACATGACCTTGACGTAACCGTGGTGTTACCATACCGTAACCGTGGCGTGACCATGACTGTGACATAACAATACGAAAACCGTTGTGTGACCGTGCCGTAACCGTTGTGTGACTGTGACGTAACCGTTGTGTGACCGTAACGTAACCGTAGCAATGTCAGTGTCATAGTCAGTATTTTGATTGGCTGAGCCATAATGTCGTGCCAGGTGCTGTGACTGTCACAGTCATGCTTAATCTATATTCTCTGCTACTAACTTTACCCTACCCCTACCCCGCCTCCGCCTGTCTTGACTCTAAGACTACAACGTAGCAGAGCATTCTGATTGGCTGAAATTTATTGTGTAACTTGACAAACCCATATATCACTCAAGCAAACCCCTGCCGCGCTTTTACCTTGAAATGTCGATATCAGGTGCCATAGGTACTAATCTATCGGTAATATAGACCATCTTCAAGTATATTGGGACAGAAGAATTAACACTCGTCCAAAGACACAGCGTCATCTCTGTTAATGGTCCTTTAAACTTTAACGGCGGGAAAGGGGTGAAACCCAAAAAGAAAATCCCAAGGTCGAATTCATGCCCTAAAAGAAATGTAGTTTATATGGTTAAACCAATAGGTCGTCGCAAGCATTGCCAAGGAAAGCACGGGTTGTTTGCGCTGCTAATTGTCGGCTTCTCTCGCTACTGAGGTCAGCGGATTTCTTCCCTTTGTCCTTCCCCTGTTTATTTTAGACATCGGTCTTACCTTGGAATCTACTGACTGAGCAACCACTCTTCTTTTCTATCGATTGTTCTACATCATCAATCCATTCGTCATTATTAAGAGTCCATCTTGTTTGATTAGAACGATGTATCCAATCTTTCCATTCCGAGTTCTCGTTGAAGTTTAGAATTTCTGCAACCAAAAAACAAAATCAAGTGTTAAGAGTAAGGTCCACAGTTCAATGTGATTCCATTTCATTCCATTCCAATCCATTCCATTCCATTCCATTCCATACCATTCCAATCCATT